TTAAGCCTTCTTTTCTGGAGGCATTCGCAACACATGCCTATCGTGTAAGCACCCATGTAATCGACGTTTTACAGTAAAACTGTTGTAAAGCTGCGAATATAACGGATGTCAAGATTAAGAGATTGCCTGCTCATGCAACTTGATGATCACACGAACAAGTTCTTTCGAGGTTGTGGAGAATTTCCTTTGTTTCAAAGGGTAAAGTGTTTGGCTTTAAAATATCCGGCTTTTTATTGGGCGTCTCGAAGGAGGAGACATAACTTGCAATGACGACACTGTCCTTCCATTCAGTGAGACGAAAACATATGAAGCATAACTGCACCATATAATTATATGCGCCCTCTGACGTCTTACCCATCCAGGACGCGAGAAGAACATCCATCAAGCGTTGTTCGGTTCTTCCGTTCATTTTATCCACAAATCTTTACTACCTGTTAAGGGGTAACGTCATGGGAAAATCGTCAGTTGACTTTCGTTACGGATTTGATATAGATAGTGCCTCAACCATTCCGGTCTTTAGAGGATACGCATGTGTTGTTTAAGAAATTGGAAAAACGGGACAATGAGAGCGAATTAGCGAAACTACAAGAAGTATATGTAGGTCATGGGATGGCAGCAGTAACATATCCCGTTGAAGACATGAATTTGACTTAAAGAATAGCATAAACTTAGCATATAGACTTACAGTACAAATTATTATTGAATTCGATTCAGCGTCTGAAAATGAACAGTAATTTATTTCCATAAGGGAATCAGCAGCCTGGAAATGGGCATTTCTGGACAGGATCATGCAACTAATGCTCTGTTTGGAGAGATGATGATTTGATGCGCAGATTATCGACTTTTACGCTGCATTTCCTTATCCTGAGCCATGGAGTGGATAGAATAATATTTGCAAAGCGCTCATTGATTCATTTACATGATCGATCGTTTCCTCATCTTCTTTCTATCCCGTGTGATTCTCAATTAGAGAAGTACACGGCATGGTGAAATAATTTTACTGTCCGCTTTTGGAAGTGAAACAAGCGGAAAATTTCAATCTTCTAACCGGAACCAGGTTTATAACTGGTATGAACATATGAACAACCAACTCCTGATTTTATCACTGCTACTGTCGCCGGTTGTTTCAGGATAAATCATTGAAGGTAGGACGTCCCATCGTCCGTCGATATGTTGCAAGGTAAGATACATGAATGGAAGCTGAGTGTTTCCTACGACGCGAGCAGAGAGGTCGGATTTAAGGAGAGCAGGTCCACGCCAAGGGTCGGAAATAAAACACTGTCCCTCCGTTCAATGAACACACAAATGGTTGTAATGCGCCTGGAATCCTGCTCAGATATAGCATATCAACTATCGGTATATCTTAACTTCCTGTCGAATGAGTATATGACCGACATCGATAACGCCTAAGAAGAGTGATGTCTGATATACTCTGTTGCATTCTGTGTAAGCACCAAGGCTGGACTTTCAGTTCAAAGTATGAGATGACCTGAAATATCATTTTAAAGGTGGAAATACAGTGTTGCAAATCATCCTCATCGGCCTTCAACGATTCGCTGCTGGATAATGGGCTTTCCATGAATTTTCCATCCACGATTCTCATTCATATGACTCCAGTAGATTTCTTCAGCTCGTCTGCCATCGACCTGGAGCATTTCCCAGATCTTTTCAAGTTTTTAGCCTTTTGGCCTTGCGCTAGAACGCGGCTCTTGCAACTTCTCTTGTCTCTCGCCCTTTCAAATTCTCCACTCTTGCAGTGAAATGCTAAATCCCTGTTTGCACTTTATTTCTTGGATCGTCTTCTCATCCCAAATATGCACTTTTCCTTGCTACGTCGCATGGTGTTTAATATGTGAACAGGTTCGAGGCTGCAGGTTGATGTTTTGCATCGGTGCTGGTCGCACGAAAGATCGAATATCTTCTGTTTTATGCAGAAAAGCAATTTCCTAGATCGGAGCATTTTCAATCTTCCGCATGTGCTTGTGCGACGGTTGAAATGTCTGTCATTAGTCGATGGAAAAACTTCGAAACCAACATCTTGAATCTGTTAGAATTACTTGGCAGCCAATGATAGTTCTTGAAGATCGAGGAGGAGGGAAAACAATATTCTATAGTCACATGGTAAGAAGAATGGTAAATGACTACATTAAACTGTAATATTGCTGCTGCATTCCGGCGACGATTTTAAAATGGCCCACGGCACTGAAAGTGGCGTAGAATTACTGAACCTCAGTGCGATAGCACAAAGCTGGAAACTGTCTTGGATTACCTTGAAGCTTACAGCATCTAGATATCTACATCTACGTGATAATTTGCCGTATGGAAATAGAGTCGTAAAATTAAAATTGGAAAATATTAATTAAATTAATAGAAATTGCAGCGAAATATATGGCAATATTTGCGCTAAACGTTTTTCTAAAATTGCTCACAGCAGTGCTGTATGCGACCGGCAATTACAGCGAGCAGTGCTTCCATTTCTTTAGAGCGACAGACATTTTAAACTGACAGTAAAATGAGCCTTGTCTGACTTTGGTACGCTATTTCGTTGAAAGAATTTAATGTACTTTGACCAGTGGAATAGTTGTCTTTAATATCAGGAATTCACAGATGGAAAAACAGCACAATGATGACTTCACATTTTCTATCATAAACTGCGGTTAAAGACGAAGGCCATTCTGCTGGACCTAGGTAGATGCCACCAACTGCACAGCTCTACCCTCGGAAGAACAGCTTTCAGCATAATGTTGTTCCCCTGACCTATTTTTTACCATTGAGTCACGCCAGACCAACAGCGATCCGCAGTGATTTTCCAGACAAAGGGCCATTGTGACCAAGACTTTCCAACATTATCTTCTTCTAAGGCGTAGATGCATTTTGCTAATATTTGCAATCACGTGATATGGACTTTGTGTAACGTGGCCATGTTCCTTTGCATTACGTCAGGTACTACACGACATATGGCACAATTGTCTTCGTTTCCACACAAAACGTAAACGTCTGCCTCATTGAGCAATGATGAAAGGTGCAATTCCCTGGAAATGAGTTCAGTGAAGCAGTGAGATAATCATTTTGACTACTTTTTTCGTTTTGCTTTCAGTTGAAAAAGACAGTTACAAAATAAGCAATGAATGGCTCAGCAATTAGTGAGTTCGAAACCCCCAGATGGCCACCACTTTTTCTCGAATAGAAACGTTATTATTCAAGGATGAAAATCATTAAGACTTCGAGCAACGGTTGCATCACGTTTCTTCGTTTAAAGCAAGTAAGTAAACTTTCCCGCGGAGTTAGTAAAACTTGAAACACTCGATATCGCCATAGAATTGATATAACGGCACCAGTACAGTTAAGTATTTGCAGTGGTTACGGTTAGATGCGATGCCTAAACAGGAGTTGCACAGTCTGTAGAGCGCTGGCCTGGAAACCGAAAGATTCTGTGTTTAAACCAGGTCGATTCACTTTTACGTTCATCTTTCCGAGGCTATTAAGCAGTAGCTGAGTACCACTCAGTAGTACTAAACATTAGGCTTGCAGCATAGCTGCTGTTACG